GAAATAAAAGGAAACAATACAATGATAGATATTCCTAAACTTTGAAAGTAATCATTCCTTGGGAAAATCTATGTTCTTATTTCATTTGTGGACAAAACTATTGTGCTGGTTAAAAAAGAACCTTTATTTTAAACATTGAAATTGACTTGTTTACAAGGTACAGATAACATTAAAATGCTATAACTACCTTTTAAAATGAAATTAGAAATTGGATTGACCCTGGCTCTATACAACTAACTGGATTCCTGATGTTGTAACATGTTAAAATTATTTCCCATATAATATGAACTGATACATTCAAATGTAAATCATTATCCTTTTTGCATAAATTAAATTACACACGTTAACAACATTTCTTTTAATTATACATACACGGTTATTCTGAATACATTTCAGGGGCTCTTGGCATTTGCTCTTTGCTTGATAAACATTGAAAATTATGGCATCTGAAGACAGTGTACAAGGGACATCAAATCAGCTTTGATTCCATTATTAAGAAAGCCATATAGAATTGGATTAAGACAACAGGACATCATTCCTAACAAATGGCAAACACAATACACCAACTTGAAATGCCTGTTGGAAATGAGGTTATCGTTGAAATCAGTTACCACGTGGAAAAGGTGCAGTGGCATCCAGCTCACAGCAAACACTAATATCAGGATGGTGAGTCTATAAAACACACTTCGAGATCTTTTTTTTAATCGTGTGACAGAACGACCGACTCTCATTTCATGAGTGTCTGAGTTTTCTTCAGGCTTCATCTCAAAGCAGGTGGGGACACCTGGTATGACCTTCCTGGAGGAAGAAGAGTGATTTCTTACAGAGCCAAAGTTTTCTGGAAGCACTCCTACATGGTTGTCTTGAGAAGGTCTCGCTGGCGCAGGTAGCACACATGCTGTCTTCTTGCTGTATCTTCTTCTGTGTTTTCTGATGAACGAGTAACTCTGCTTATGGCTGCCGGCGTGGCTCACTTGAGGCCGGCTCTTTTTGGATGGATGGAGAGTTAGGTTGATCATCTCATTTTCTTCTAGCCTGTTTTCATTACCAGACAACCCACAGCTTATACTTCTACAGACACTGGTATGACTTACAGTTAGACAAACTAAGGGCAAAACATATTGAACCAGCAGCAACGAGATAGTAAAAGCAACTCGGTATGAATCAGATGGCCATGACTCAACACATAAATACCTGGTGCTTAGGGACTCTGAGCCAAATGTTTCCTGAAGGCCTACAAGGCTGTGAAACACTGGAAGAGGGGAGCAGATTGCAAAGCCTAGCATCCAGACAGTAGCTATCAAGAAGTAGCCATGATTTGCTGTTAAACTATTAGATAGAGGATGCCTTATCATATGATACCTGACAGTGGCAATCGATATTAAAATTAACGTTGAAACCAAAACCGAAACACATTGAAGGAAAGGCATTATATGGCACATGACTTTACCAAACATCCACCGGTCCAGCAAGATAGATGTTAATGTGAATGGGGAGCAAAACAGCACAATCAAGATATCAGAGAAGGCCAGGTTTCCTATGAGGAAGTTTACGATAGTCGTCTGATTACGCTTTCTCATGAGAGCCATTAAAATAAGCAGGTTTCCCATAAAACCAAGGAGACTTACAAACGTATAGAGTCCAATCAGAAAGTACTGTAAGTCATCTACACTGCTTTTATAGTCGTCCCACAGTGGAAAACCGGGATTCCGAGCGGCGGCAGTATTGTTCTCTGCGGCATGTGTCCTGTTTTCATAATCCATATTACAGTCCTGCTTGAAATGAAAAAGACATTTGTTAGCAACTTGAGCAAACGACATGACTGCTCCCGTGACCACACTAAGACCCCTAAGAAAGTCATCCCAGGTCTTTAATTGTTCCAAATAGTGTGCAAACATCAGCCAGTGGCAATCAAAGCGTGTCCATCATTTCTGTAGTTGCATTGTGTTAAAGTTAAAGATCTTATTTTACAATGTATGCAGGAAATAATGTGAGAAAAGAAAAAGGAGAATGTTAATAAGAACTTTAAGATCTCTATTTGCAATAGCTCATTCTAGTTTATCCTGTGGTCTGGCCCTAAAGATTTTTTAATCTTTCTTTCCTTCCTGAATCAAGGCCAAATTAAAAAGTCACCTGTTCTAAAAGTATTCTCTGCTCTACTCAACTGGATGAGACCTAAATTCTTTAGAATCCTTAGAGAACTCGCTTTATAGTTGTCTAATTAAATGTGTCACACCTGCTTCGCATTGCCGCTCTAATGCATACCAATCTTCCTTATTTATTTATCAACAGAATTCCTTACTCACCTTGGTATCCAGAATGATATATGGAAAATGAAATATTGAAACAAAAAACTGAAAAATCTAAACGTTATATAGTTCATGCATCATTCAATTCTAAGCTCCCAAGTATAGAAACCCTCTTTCATGATCTAGTAGTATACAGGAGGCACTCAACTTTGGACATGTCGAGGCTGGCAAGTCCACCACAACTGGTCATCTGATCTACAAATGTGGTGACCTTGGCAAAAGAGCCATTGAAAAATGTCAGCAGGAAGCTGCCGGGATGGGGAAGGGCTCCTTCAAGTCTGCGTGGGTCTTGGACAAGCTGGAAACGGATGTGAGCATGGCATCACTATTGACATCTCCCTGTGGGAATTTGAGACCAGCAAATACTATGTGGCCATCATTGGTGCCCCTGGACATAGAGACTTAATTGAAAACATGATTACAGTAGCATCACAGGCTGACTGTTGCTGTTGGTGCTGGTGAATTAGAAGCTGGTGTCTCCAAGAATGGGCAGACCTATGAGCATGCCCTTCTGGCTTACACACTGGGTGTGAAACAGCTCATTGTCGGTGTTAACAAAATGGATTCTACTGAACCACCCTATATCCAGAAGAGATGTGAAGAAATTGTTACGGAAGTCAGCACCTACATGAAGAACATTGGCCACAACTCTGACACAGTAGCATTGTGCCAATTTCTGGTTGGAATGGTGACAATATGCTGGGGCCCAGTGTGACCAGGCCTTGGTTCAAGGCATGGAAGCTCACCCAAAGGAAGGCATTGGCAGTCAAACTACACAGCTTGACGCCCTGGGTTGCATCCTGGACAAAATTTGCAGTATTGGCATTCTCCCTGTGGACAGAGTGGAAACCAGTGTTCGGAAACTTGGCGTGGTCACCTTTGCTGCAGTCAATGTTACCACAGACATGTAGTCTTTTGAAATGTGCCACAAAGCCTTGATCGAAGCTCGACTTGGGAACAATGTAGGCTTCAATGTCAAGAACATCTCCGTCAAAGATGTCTGCCGTGGCAAGGTCGCTGGTGACGGCAAAAAGGACCCACCAATGGAAGCAGCTGGCTTCGCTGCTCAGGCGATCATCCTGAACCATCCAGGTCAGACCAGTACTGGACACACATCTGTGCTGGACTGTCACACTGTCCACGTTTTTTTGCAAGTGTGCTGAGCACCCAGAGAAGATTGATCGCCATTCTAGCAAGAATCTGGACGGTATCCCCAAATTCTTGAGATCTGGGGATGCTTCCGTTGTTGGCCTGGTACCTGGCAAGCCCAGGTGTGTGCCGAGCTTCTCTGAGTATATTTCCTGGGTTGTTTTGCTGTTCACATGAGACAAACAGTCGCTGTGACTGTCATCAAGGCTGTGGACAAAAAGGCTGGCAAGGGCACCAAGTCTGCCCAGCAGGCTAAAGGAATATTACCCAAGACATCGGTCACTCTTGTCTCGGTCACTGGTGGAAGGACTGTCTCGGAATTGTTTATCTCAATTGACCATTTTACTTCAACAGTAAAAGTCTGGTTAATGATAACTGTATCGTAAAGCTTTCAGAAGGAAATGAATGTTCGTGGACCACATAGTTCTTTTTGTGTGTGGCAGTTTTGAGTTATTAGTTGTTGTTTTTCTCACTGTAATTTTAATCATTCTATTGGGAGCTCATCCAACTCTAATCACAACCCATCCATCGATCCATAGTGTCAAGTAAATTTGTACATTTTTTGCCATCATAGTTTCCAAAGCATTTCTTTCTACTTGAGCCCTTGGTATCAGCTCCTCATCTCCCCTCTCCCTCCCCCAGAGTTATTAGTTTTCAAATCGGTAGTTGCTAAATGAAAAACAACCCAACCAAAAATTTGTCGTAAATTTTGAGACCCATTAAAACAAAGGTTAAAAAAAAGTTCAATGAGAAAAAACTTAAATAATTCAAGAGTTCTCTTTGCTGTTCAGTCATCCTTAGATCTTTGCCATACATGTGCATGGATATTGCCTCAAGTTAAAAATTACCATCTTATTCATCAAATTATTATTCAATGGTCTCCCGGAACTATCGTGGGCAGGTGAACTTGTAATAAAAGTGTTAGAGTAGACCTTGCTTGGTATTTCTACCTCATTTCCTGAGCTCTGCCGACCCCCTTGTTTGAGCCGACCTCCTTCATGATCCTACTTATATTCACAGTATATACAGGCTATTGGTAACTGTGCCCCTGATTAGTCTTCTTTCAGCTTACTTTCTGAAACCTATGCTTTTCATGGTCAGACCGCAGATATCAACTGTCTCTTCTACTTCCAGGGCAGAGAAAAGAGAAAAGATAGACAATGGATGTGTACTTTCTTGAAATATGTGACTCTGGGTTGACAACTACTACTAAAAAAATTGCTAAACCGAATTTTTGAAGAGGGAGAAAGTACAACTTGTGGCAACAGAAACGATGTGGTTTTGAGTATGATAAGTACGAATTTCACTTTACTTGGATCTACAAGCAATGCCCATAGAAGCAGTCGTCAGGCAACCAAATGATGCACTAAAGACAAATGTGTTGCAAAAGACCTCTTTAAAGGGCTGAAAAACAAAGATGTCACTTTGAGCACTTGAAATTTGCTTCACCCAAACCATGGTATTTTCATAAGTGTGAAAGCTGGCCAATGAATAAGAAAGAGAAAAGAAGAATGGGTGCCTTTGAATTCTGGTGTTGGCAAAGACTATGGAATAGACCATAGACTGCCAGATGAATAAGTAAACCTGTCTTGAATGAAGTACGACCAGAATGCTTCTTAGAAGTGAAGGTGGTGAAAAGTCATCTACTTCAGATATGTCCCAGGAGAAGGACAATATGCTTGGTAGAGAGTCTAGGAAAAAGAGGAAGCCCACCAACAAGATGGGTTGAGAGAGCAGCTATAACAATGGGAAACATCGAAAACCATAGCAAAGATTGGTAGGACAGAGTAGGATCAGACAATGCTTCAGTCTGTGGAACAGACTTCCAGCACTTAACAACAACACACACAAACATAGGCAAACAGTGCAAGTCAACACGCGTTCAGTAGCCCCAGAATGAGATGAGGAGGGATCGACATAGACACTCATTTATCACAGCTTAGAATTGGGTATTCTTCTTGATAAGAGCTATCATGTAAGCAACATAAACTGAAATAGCAAAAATTATTTATGTGCTTTTATTTACGTGAAAACGCATACCATGTCGCAGTTTTTCAAGAAAAAATTCTGTTTTAAACATGCTGAATTTTTTAAGCTATTAAAACTACTGCTTCAAAATGAATGTAATTGGGCCCTGGAGAGACACTGGGAGAAGCAGAGGTCAACACTCACTCTTTCTCTTCCTGAAGAAAACATACTTACATATAACTTAAAGGCAAGGCTCCTTTCATTATTGAATAGCTCAGGATGATTGGTTTTCCCTCCATTACTCATTTGGTAAACACACTATAAAGATGACTATGGCAAGGTGCTATGTGAAGAATGTCCCTTGAGAGATTAAGTCAAGGTTACACAATGAATAATTGGAAACTGCAAGGGCCTGAGATAATGTAATGCCGTAAAGATATGAATGAATGAATGAACTGCATTCTGTGGCTGTCAATAGCGCACTGTTCACTACAACAAGGACATTTGCTCTGATACCTATTGATTACTGATTTTTTGGTTTCACTTTTCTTCTGTTTGTTATCTTTTTTTAAAATCTCCTTTCTAATGTGGACTAGACAGCCAGTAACAACAAATACTCATTTATTTACTTTCTTTTGATGTGATTGGGTAGTCAATTTTCTGCCGTTCTTCTAGCCCACAGCCATTCCTCAACACACACACACACACACACACACACACACACACACACCCCAAACACAGGGGACACATAACCTAAGTGTTCTACACAAAATGAACATTCTCTGATTTATCTTGGCTCCAATGAATGACATTGGATCACAACTAAATCATGAATATTGCATACAGGCAGACCAAAAGGTGCTCAGCATATTTTTAATATCTCTCTCTGTAGCCAGAGGATTGTTCAAAAATTAAGACATTTGTCCAGTCCGATTTAAGTCTTCCATTTTAAATTTGAAAACTAAGGTAGAGGAAGTTACCACCTCTTTTTTCCTGAAAACGCAATAAACAAATCCATAATGCAAATATAAATCTGTGTAATTATCTGCTTTTCAACAAGTGTTAAAAGAAATGATGTACAATTTCAACAAAATGTACAATTTCAATTTTATGAATTATGGAGATACTTCAGTTTATTTCGGACTAGAAAAATCAGAGAGCATTTAAAAAGATTGTTTGACATCAGATTCAATATTGACTGCGAAACCTCTGGATATGAACGTTCGTTCATCTTCCACTTGGCTTCTCCAGTGGAAGCTCCAGTTTTAATTGTCTGAGTAAAAATGAAGGGGAAACGTCCTTCGTCAAACTGTCATGACCTTCAAGACAGTAGTTCTCCATTAATCGCTATAAATTGAAAAAGACAAATGAGGTCTTTTAAATGTAGTCAGAGTTGTCAGAAAACAGGTTTTTCAGGGAATAATAGAAGGACCCACAGGGGAATCCAGGAATACTGAGACTGAGTTTATAACTCTAAACAAGGTTTCTTTGATAAGATAATGTCCTGTTTTATGAAAATGCGCATCTTTTTTTTCCTCACAAGGGATGTTAATCACACAAAGGAATGCATTTTGTCCCTTCTAGTAATGACCAAATGTCAACTACTACCTGTTTTGCTACCATCCTGGAACAATGGCGAGATTCAATAGTCCAAATACTCCCATTAATTATTTTAAAGTTGGAATCTGCACAATTAAAACCGAAAAGATAAATATAGCTCCGTTCAGCTTCCACACGCGCACACACACAAGCACGCATGACCGACCCTCGGTTCTCAATCGCAACAGCTGTTTCTCCTCCATTCAGAAAACGGAACTTTTCACATGGCATGCCAGGGTGCCAGGTCTGCGGGAAGAGCGTTTTCCAGCGCGTTGCATTGCCGAGTCGTCTCGGCTTCTGCCCAAGAAGCCCACATGCCATCAACGGGAGGTCTGGGGGTACGAATTCCGTTTCTGCAATTCGAGGTGTGTGGATGCACGGCATGGCTGCGAGTGTCCCTGGGCACACGGGAGCGCAGACCTAGGATGGCAAACTGCCGGCGGCGAAGAGCTGGCCAGGGGGACTGACCGCCCGCGTGGCGCCCGGGCGCTCCCCGGCCTCCGGCGGGGACCGCGCGCGCCCAGGGCTCCCCGGGCCCCGGAGGAGCGATCCGGGCGCCGCTCGGCTCCAGGCTCGGGCGCGGCTCCCGAACTCTCGGGATCGGCGCCCGCCGGCTGCACCGCGGTGAGTCCGGGGCTGGAGAGACGCGCGCGGCCCTGGCGACTTCAACCGCCCGCGCTCCCTTCCCCTGCACCCCCTGTCATCCAAGCCCGCACTTGCCCAGTCCGTGCGTCTTCCCGGGGGCACCCCGAGCCCACGCCGGCCCCAGGACCCGGGTGCGGGCGGCCAGAGCCCCGGGCAGGCCCTCGGCGCGTGGGACCCGGGCACGGCCGTCGTGGAGGGGCCGCGGGGAGAGGCCGAGCCCCATACCTGGAAGCCCAGGCTCCGGGGAACGCAGCTCCAGCGCCCACGCGGCAGGAGGAGGATCTGGGAAAGGTGGGGAGCCCGAGGGTTTTAGAGGCTCCTTGGGAACACGTGACCACTCTGGGGACCCTGGAGACCCTGCTCGGGGTGCCTTCCCCGCTGCAGCCTTTCCTAAAGCCCTGGCCCGCTGCCACTGAGCATCTGTCCTGATGTTTGGGCGTCTTAGAGAGACAGTGCCCAGTCACCTGGTCTCTAGTTGCCACCAGGGCCAAGTGAACTTGACGTTGGTCTTTCCTGTGGCCAACCTCTGAAATCAAACTCAGAGGAGTTTCAACCTGGCGAGAGTCGGAGAGTCATGGAGTTTAGTATCTTTGAATAAAACAAACAAATGGTAAGGCCCAGGTTTGCTCTTTGCTCATAAAAACAAGAACGTTTTTCCTCCTGGCTCCCCCTCACCCCCACTCCCGCGCCTTTTCTGTCGTGAGGAAGGGCAAAGTCGGGGCAAAACCTTAACCTGAATGCCCAAAGGATGCCGGGGAAAGAGGGATGTATCCCATGGCCTAAGGAGTAGTAGGTGTGAGGTTAGGCAAGTCTTGTGGAGCAGGGTATTGGTCGAGAAGGAATCAACACTTTGCATTTCTACATTCCATAACAAAAAGACGAGGAAGTAAAAGGTTTGTCATATTTTAATGAAAAAAGACAAAATGTCTAGCCTTCTGTTCCTACTCAGCGTCATCATTTTCAGCTCTAATGTTTCCAAATTTCTAGTGCTCAGGTTTGCCTTATTTTTAGCTAGTTGGCAGGTATTTCAGGCTTCTGGTGTGTGTGGAGGGGTGCGGGGGTGGGGTGGGTGTTAGTGAGAGAGCATGATATAAAGATAGATGGTGTGACAGAGAGGTTGATAAAGATTAAGAGGAAGGAATCCATGTGGTTTTGAACACCTCTGTGCTGTAAGAAAGGCTGTATTTTATGATTTAGTTTAAAATGGAAAACAATTGTGTGACAGTGCATCTCAGCATCGCTTGTTCAGTGACGACTGAAATCCCGTGGGGCTGGCAGTCGATAAACTGGAGAAAGTGTATCCCTGGGGAACAGTGCAACTTGTAAATATAATTTCTGGGGCAACAAATGCAAGCTGTTATTCCCAGGATAAGGAGGGGGGAAAATCGGACGCTTCTTTTCTGTGAATTTCAGTGTTCAATACCCAGAGGATCTATTCAGAGTGTCATTTTATGAACCAGAGTTATCTATGGGCTTTTAAATACCTCAGCTCCTGTTTTAGTCTCTCTTCACCCCCCCCCCAGTCCCCACCCCCCCTTGCCTCTGGTTACTGATACATTCTCTCCCAAAGTGTAAGCAGTAAGCACTCTGAGCCAGCCCTTGCTTTTCTGCAGTGGGCAGGGGAGAAGTGGAAATGCCAGGAAGCAAAGATGAGTTCTTAGACTTCCTTAACTCCACCCTGGATAGTTAATGTACCGCAGGTCACCACGTACATCTCTGTCCTGTCACTCACACAGGCACCAAACCACTTCCACTGTGTCTGCTTTAAAATACTTGTAAAGAGCCCTTCGTGATAATCTTCTTTAGGAAACTACTCTATGGCACACATTTTGCATATTAAAAATGGAAGGTGAATTGTATTGTTTTCCTGTGATAGTCTGGAGTTTCAGGTTGAAGTCATTATAAGTACTAGGGCACTGAAAATAAAAGGTCAACATGTCAGTGTACTGAAGGTTCCGATGAGGTTCCATTTTCTCTTTCACTGCAACATGTAAGCCTCAAAAAGGGGCGTCGGAATCTCTCCCTCCCACATACATTCTGATATACAATATTAAGGATACACAGAGTGAACAAGTAATCTTTTCCTTCTGAAGAAATTATTGACTTAAAAATTCTAACAATGAGCTATATAGAGATGTGATTTACCATCTAATATCCCAGGATGGATTCAAAAGCGACCATCATTCTTTGTAGAACATAATGCTCTTGTTTCTTGTGTATTCAAACAGGGAGTATCACTTCTGGGATCAGTAATGTCAATGTCCGTCTCTGCTTTATATGTTTTTTTTTCTACTCACTTTTATAAAAAGCTCATTTGGGAAATTAAGTTGGATTTTATGTTCAACAAAATTAGATTGGCTATTTCCCTGTTCTCGCGGTTATTTGTCAGTTATGAAAGAAAGCTTCTTTGTAAATATGCAAGTGGAAGGCCACTCAGGACTAATAAGACAAGTTATTGAACAAGCAAGCACTTTCCAAACAATACCTAAGGTAACATTTTGCTGAAGACACGTTTTGTCAAGTTATTACTGTATTTTTAATAATGGCTAGCTATCTGTGGATGAGAGTGACTTAGTAACTATTTCTTTTATAATATAATAGTTTACTGACTTATCTTACACAATCCAACATATCCATTCCCAGTCAATGTAACTCTTTAGGTCACAGCATACGACTTCCGTATATTAATGATAAGAATATCCAACCAACCCACGACCACTGAGTTCATTCTAACTTATAGTGGCCCTGTTGTCAGCTTTCCGAGCCTTTGTATATCTTGAGGGGAGCAAACAACCTTATCTTTCTCCTGGAGAGTACCTGGTGGGTTCGAACCACTGATTTTTCAGAGTGGCACTTCAACTCTTCCCTGACAGTGAAACAAACCCCCTTCTCACTGCCATCAAGCAGGTTGTGACTCATAGGGACCCTACAGGAGCGTGTAGAACTAACTGGCCCGGTGTGTTTCTGAGCCTGTAACTCTTTATGAGTGTAGAAAGCCCGGTCTTTCTCCGACCAAGCCTCCATGGCTCCTTAACAGAATTGGGTTGCTAAATAAGCTAGTTGTTGTTGCTAAGTGCATGGATTTCAATTTGATTGTAGTAACTCCATGTGATAAAGTAGAACTATTTAGTAGATGCATTTTCCCCTGGAGAATTTTTGTTTTGTTAAGAATATAGGAAGCGGGGAGCCAACAAACCCAGGGACAAGGGAACAATAAGGGACCTAAAATCGATGGGGAGGAGGGCTTAGAATGCCTGGCGGGGCTTGATGAAGTACAAGGTAGCCTAGAGGAATTACTGAGAGCCAAATGAAGCTTGAGCATGATAATGGGACAAGAGGAAAGTAAAAGGAAATAGAGGAAAGAACTAAGAGGAAAAGGATATTTATAGAGGTAAAAATACAGGCAAGTACAAATGTAAATATCTTTGTACATGTAATGATAGGGACATAGATCTATATACATATATATTAAATATTAAGGTAGCAGATGGGCATTGGGCCTCTAATCAAGTACTCTCTCAATGCAAGAACATTTTGTTCTTATATCCTGGTGTTCTATGATGCTCACCTTCCAGAAGTGAGAGCTGAAGGCAAAATAGGTGCATAAGCAAATGTGGTGAAGAAAGCTGATGGTGCCCGGCTGGCGGGACATTTTACAGTTGTTTTTCATTAGGGTATTCATTCAGATCACATTTTCCTTTTAGGAAGTACAACCTTTCTTTAAATACTTTTTAAATCTTAATAGTACCTAAAGCAAAAGGTTGCGTTAATGCCTACATTTTTCATTACAAATCATTTTGGTTTTGTTTCTTTGAATTGGTTGGGTAAAAAGATAATGTATGGAAGATTTATTACTAACGAGCAAAATTAAGGCTTATCAACAGAAACAAATACAAGTCATTTAAATTGATGTAAATGAGATACATAAATGGCAACTTGAGGCATATTGATTTGTCCTTTTAAGTGCTTTATTTCTTCTGAAATAGGTTGATTTTGATGATAAAACTTGGGACCTCACATGTATTGTGGAAGGACGTCTAGGGACTGGGGGTGGTTGCCAGGATGGCAGCGATCCTATATTTTAAGTCAGATGATCCCTTTTGCAGGTAACATGTACATCTGACACTGGTGAAGGGATGGTTTCTGTAATGCTGCCGTGAAGTTGGCTTGCTTACTCTGTTCTTATCCAATGTATAAAATAAAAGTTTCAGATTATTTCAAAAAAAATAAATAAATAAAGCATCTGGGGTCTTAAAGGCCTGAAGATAAACAAGCGGCCATCTAGCTGGGAAGCAACAAAGTCCACATGGAAGAAGCACACCAACCTGTGTGATCATGAGGTGTCGATGGGGTCAGCTATCAGAAGACCCAGAACAAATAATCACCAATGCAATCAAGGGCGGGTGGGTGGAATGGAGACCTGTGGGGGGAATAAGGCCAGCCCCCCACCACTAATCACGGATTCAGTAAGCGCAATTGTACGGTTAAGATACATAAAGATGATAGTAAAGTCATAGAGAGCATGAGACAGAGAAGAGAGATGGAAATAAAGGAGTCAGACACATTCATGGTAGCATGCTCACCTCCTGGATGGTCATGATCTTACCAGCCAGGTCCACGCACAGCGTGGCCTGAGGTGAGGTGGGTCAGAAGCCTCTGTTGATCACTAACCAAGCCTTATATCTACTTGCGGGGGTGGGGGTGGGTGGGGGGTGTGTGTGTGTGATTACAGGTAACCACACATCACAGGAAGGGACAGTACAATAGGCATACACATCATAGGAAGGGGATGTACAATAGGCATAAGCATGACAGGAAGGGGATGAGCTAGGGGTGCACATAGGAAGGGGAGGGACTAGAGGTATACATGTGACAAAATGTGCGGACCCTAGATTCATGATGGTGTCACCCTTGGGTGGGCTTGACCTCCCTGGGCACTCCTTCAGGGAGACAATTTACTACTGTCCTTATCAGAAGGGAGTGGGCCATACTTGTTGTGGGATGAATAGTGGTGTCTGCTTGCTCTGGATGTCTGGTAACCCTTAGAGAGAATAACCCCTGACCCACTTCTGTTGACCTCCAAGTGTATCGTCATCTGCCACGTGTAGCAAACAGCTAAGTTTGGGATATATTTGGGGGAGACAACTTGGGAGAAATCTTTCTGCTTCCCACAGAGACCCAAAGCCCATCTGTAGACAATTTGACTTCCCCTCACAGAAGGGTCACAAGGAATGGATGAGCCAGCCAGGGTGCAGTT